ACCAGCAACTGTTTCATGAGGTTCCATACAGAATAATACAAACTGTACTTTGTAAAAAAGAGAAACACAGAGCCATTCAGTACCCCACAGGAACATGTATTTAGAAACATAAACACACTGCAGCTAATCTCTAATGCACTAATTAATAAACCATTTGTGGCCGTTTGTTGAAAGGAAACTTGTTGAAATTGAAATAAAACTTGAAATAAAACTTCTTCTAATGTATTTATTGCTTGTTTGTTCATCATTCCACTTAAAGAAAACCTTGGCGTTTTAGTACCCTCATAGCATATTGTTGCCCTGAGACAACAAACCAAAATCTGGTGGGGGGGGGCAGGGTGGAGCACATTTTCTGATTGATATTTTATAAAGACCCCCTCAAGCTCCCAAAACTAGGGTGAAATATTTTTTTCCTCATAAAATAAAAATTCATGCCATAGAGGGTTAAAGAGACATGAATACTGTTGCAAGAGATTTGGCATGCAAATTAAAGGAGTCTCGTTTTTCAGTTTTCCGCATTTTTAACCAAACAATTTAAAACATTTACAGCTTTGAGCACCGTCTGTAACTGTAACTCCATCCCCTGAATTTGTTTCTCATTCCTTCAGACACAGCACAATAAAACAGAGCCAATTAAAATAAAAGAATACCCAGCTGCGCCTTAATAACTAAACCTCCCACAGGAGGCCTGGACGTCCTGATTGACACCCACACACTCACTTGATGAAACTCTGGCTGTGGGAGATCAGAGGCTGCCTGCCTTACTGACAAGCTTGGTAATACAACAAATCTTCATAAGATATGAGAAATATGGACACGATACACAGTCTCCAGCCTCTCCTTTCTGTTTCATAACCACATCCCAGCAACAAACACAGTTGGGCAACACAGGATATGAAACCTAAAGCACAAAGCAGATAAACACATTTATCACAGGTTCTTTCATTCTTTATCTTTGCTCAACATACCTCTATCTCTCCTTCCCTCTCAACTTCCTCCCAGGCCTGTTATTTGTGTAACTCAGTTTTATGACGTATTGACAATTATTAAACAACAATCACTACTTTCATTTCCTGCTATCCTGACAGGTATTCCTCCCTTCATGTAAACTTGCTTCCCTTCCTGCCTTGAATGGTTTCTTTTTACAGACCCTGCATCAAAAATATTCTCCCCTTGATATAGGCAGCCTGTTATTTATCTCTGCTCACATGCACGTTTATCTTGCCGTGTTTGTTCACCGAGGTACTGCATGCTCCTCA